CGCTACCCTGTAGCGATGTGGTGGCGTGCAGCCTGTCCAGTCTCGGGCTGTGAGCCGGCCCAATGCGATGAGGAGTGAAATGTGTCTCTCTACCTGCAAAACAATGTGAGAAAACATAAAAGTAATATCCCTATGCTTCGCACTATTCCTTTCTGTCCAGGTGAACTAGAGGATCAGACAAGGAATGAGGAAGCCCACGTGCCTAAAGTGTGTGCTCTGTGAGAAAAAACTCAGAAGCTCAAAGGAACTGTATGTGGTGGGTAGGGATATATGAGTCCAAGTGGCAAAATGCTCCCACACTCTCCTCACGCTCTCACTCTCTAGAAAAAGGTGGGGAAAGGTCTCGGTCTCATGGCGTCCAGTCTCAGAACAACACACACATCGGGAGGGGAAGGAGATCCCCCTCGCGTGAAGCACAGAATCCACGGGTATCCGGCGCAAGAGGAGGCGCCAAAGGAACACCGAAATAGTAGGGGTGAAAAGGTCACTCCAGATGGCCCCGAAGAGGAGATTCGGCCGATCCCTCAGCCTGATCTGCTCCCAAGACGAGGTAGTAGAAAACACACCCGATGATGTAAGGCTCCACCTCATACTATCTGAACCGTCCCCCGAGATAGGGATCTGCTGGATATGATCTAAAAAATGCTCGCTAAAACCTGCACCAGACCCCAACTCCCTATCTAACTTCCCCCTATCCCACGACCCGTCCGACCAGAGATCGCTCACAAGCAGGTGGGGGGAGTGCGACACCGGCCTATCCCTCGCCAAAGGCCTATCACCTAACCACCACTCATCCCAGAAACTGACCTCGCCATCCCCCAAAACCCAAAAAATGTGATCCTGGGCGCGTCTACCAACCCTAGTAAGACGCCGCCACTGTCTGCTATCGTGCGCAACCGCCGTTACCCAACAAGGGTGGTTGGCGCGTCTAGAGCAGTACTTGCCGCGAAGGTACTGAGCCCAAAGCGATTTTCCTTCCCTGAAGCGCCACCACAACTTGTATGAGAAGGCGGTAACAATATCCCTGAGGCGACGGATGCCAAGGCCACCCTCAGAGAGAGGGCGACAGATAGAGTCCCAACTCACCCAGTGGGTACGTCTCCCCCTCCCCGAACCATCCTCATAACCCCAGAAATAACGAGCCATGATCTGGTCAATCTCGTCAAGAGTGGACCTAGGGGGGTCAAGGACCATAAGTAAGTGAATCGGAAGGGAGGTAAGGGTGCTCTTGATCAGAGCAAGCCGACCACCGAAAGAAAGATGTCTATGCGACCAACCAGAGATCCTATCAATCATCCTCTGCCTGATGCCCGCAAAGAGCGCCCTCGTGAGGTTGCCCTTATATAAAGGGGCACCAAGGTAGGTAATGGGCAGGTCGCCGCGAGCAAATCCTGTGATCTCGTGGACTCTCTGAGCCCACCTGTCAACACTGGAGGAGGAAAGGGTGAAGGTGCTCTTCTGCACACTGATCAGCTGGCCGGTAACCGAGCTATAATGCTCCAGAAGGTGCATAAGCTCGATCAGCCCATCATCATCCGCTCGAGTGAAGATAATGATGTCATCCGCATAGGAAAGGTGCGAGACGGGAGGACCATAGCCACGGGTGCTATAAGTCATCTGAGGATAGTCGCGGATGAAGCCGTCAAGGCAACGAGAGAGGTAGTCCGCCGCAAGGACAAAAAGGGACAGGGAAAGGGGGTCGCCCTGTCTAAGGCCTCTAGACGAGGGGAAGAAATCAGTAGGGCTACCATTAACCAGGATGGAGAACGTGCAATGCTCCACACACGCCTCAACAAAGCTAATCCAACGGGCAGGGAATCCCATCCTAGCCAGTGCCTCCCTAAGGAACGTCCACTCCACTCTATCATACGCCTTAGCCATGTCTAGCTTCAGCGCGATATTCGGAGCCCGCTTCCAGTCAGCGTGGGAGATATCGTGAAT